TGGTTTAGTCTGCCAGGTAGAAATATTTTTGTTGTAGAATTCATAATTGCTTATTCAGATAGAGGTTATTTTTCATTAAAAGTATCCCCATTTCAAAAGTGCATTACATGAAAATTTGAGTTTTATCTGTTTGTGTATTTTAAACATATAAAATGCATGGAATTCTCTGGTATGACAAACAGTGAAACCAGGCTGGATTCTCTACATTATCTAGGGGCAGCATTTGTCAGTATAGCATGGCTATGTTCCTAAAGTTGACTAGGAATTTAAGAAAGCTGAAACAAATTTTACCGTAAAATCACTACATAAAGTATGTTTAGGCTTCTGTGATGTACTCCAAATATAGTGAATGGACCTTCAGAGTAGTTGAACTATATGTGATACTGTGTTTTTTGTGTTTGTTTTTGAGACGTCTTGCTCTGTCACCCTGCCTAGTGTGCAGCGACGTCATCATAGCTCACTGCAGCCTCAAACTCTTGGGCTCAAGCTCTCCTCCTGCCTTAGCCTCCCAAGTAGCTGGGACTATAGGAGGTCACTACCACTCCCAGCTAATTTTTCTATTTGTTTATAGAGATGGGTTCTCACTATGTTGCCCAGGCTGGTCTCAAATTCCAGCCTCAAGTGATCCTCCCACCTTGGCCTCCCAAAGTGCTGGGATTACTGGCGTGAGCCACTGTGCCCATCCAGATAATGTTTTTTAAAGGAGCATTTTTTTTTTAATGTTTTTCCTCAGCCTAGCAGTGTTTCTGTGCAGATTATGAAGTTTGCCATCTATTTTCCCCTGCATTTTCATTTTTCCAGTGCCACTGTGCTACGTAAGCCTCCTGTCCTTCCCCCAGCAAGTGCTTCTGGTTCCCAAATTAATGTTTACTTTCTGTCAGAAACTCATTCTCAGGGTAGCTGATCTCAGGATGTAGGAGGAAAGAAAAATATCCACACTATTTCTTACTAAGTGCTAATCCCCTTTCTCTTCTGAAAATTATTTATTTACATTCTTCACAAAGGATATTTGCTAATTCCTAGGCCTAGTTCATGGAGTTTTAGGAATTAAAATGAAACTTAAAAAAAATTAGAAGAAATGCTTAGTGGTTAGGGTGCTATCTCTGGGGTTATTATATGAGGGTCTTTTGCCCACCTTCCCCTTTCTTTGAGCTCTCAAATTCCTATCCTTAATTGCCTTTTTCC